CTTAAAAAATTTATAAAAATGCATAAGTTGAAATAATAGGATAGATTATTAATCCTAAAAAAATTATAAAAATGCATAAAGTGAATAATAGGATAAATTATTAATCCTAAAAAAATTATAAAAATGCGTAAGTGAATAATAGGATAGCTTATTAATCCTAAAAAAATTATAAAAAAATGCATAAATGAATAATAGGATAGATTTAATCCTAAAAAACTTATAAAAATGCATAACTGAATAATAGGATAAATAAATTTTTGGAATTATATATTTATTCATGGATTTTGATACTTGCACTTGATTTACATATGCTCTCAGAATTTAAATGATATTGTATATTAGTTCGCAGCAATAATTAATCCTTTATTTGTTTGCATTAAATTTCATTTAAATTTAATTTAACTTTAAATTTTTACGAATAGAAAATGTTTGTTAAATTCAAATTTCATTCCTTGCAGCAATGGCGCAAGAGAATTATTTAAATTTAATTTATTTTGAAACCCTGCAGATATATATATATATATTTTCGTTTCACTTTTATGTGAATGTATATACATGTGCTCAGACTTTGGGATGTTTACGACTCTAAACTTTCATTCCAATTAATATGAGACAGTATTACTGCCCTAAACATTTTTTTAACAAAAAATTACTATAATAATTGCTTTTAAATTCAGTCCTCTCCTGCAGAAGCGCAGGAATTAATTAATTAAATATTTTCCATTTTCTTTACCTAATGGTGTGTATATATAAAGAGAAAAAAAATTCTTGTTTTTATAACTTCTTGTATAAAAAGAGATATGAATTAAAAATGTTTAAATTAAAAATAATATTTTATGGATTATGTATAAAATATAACTGCCCATAGTGCATTTTAAAACAAACGAGATTTCTAATAAATTATCCAGCTATGACCCTGAAGTCAGCGGTATACAAGCATAGCAAATTTTGCTTAAATATTGTGAACCTTTCCTTACAGTTGCTCTGTACTTTTAAAGTACCAACTATTTTTTTAATTCCTTTAACTTTTTTATTTATTGTTATTTATTTGTTTACTTTTTCACTAACAGTACATTTTAGTTTTAATAATATATATATTATTTCATAATATTTAAGGCTTCTAGAAACAACAATTTTTTTTTTTTTTTTTAAATTTAGTTCAGCTTCTATGGAATTCGTGATGTTCATAATATGCATTATAACCTTACTTATCTAAAATTCCATATCAAATCCAAAACAAACAATACTCGCTTAAGCGGGAAAAATTCAGTCGTCGTAACTGCGCTGAACTGCTTGCGCCAAAATATTACAGTAGTAACCCTAGCGGCGGAAAATGAAAATATTTTACGCATACGCAGCAGTGGAAACGCTTGTACGGATGCCGTAGGCGTGTCTTCAATTGACGCAACGCGTTCGTACGCAGTAGTGGAAACGAGCCTTTATTCTTTTGAAGAAAGTAAAGTGATATTGCCATGGAAACAGGCTGATGGCCTTTTAGGAAGAACTGATGCATCTTGCAAGGCAAATAAAAATTGCTTTTACCATTGACAGTTCATTCCGTATCTCACAGATACCATTACGGAACTTATATCAGAAGCCTAAAAACTGTTTTGCTTCGCAACAATGGCTTTCCTTCCATTTGTGTTACTTTTCGATTCCCTGATTTCTGCTACTTCTCGATACCCTTTCAACAGCCGGGAGGAAACTATATTACAATATCTATCTGGCTTACAGAAAGCTTTATTTTGAATCATTTCTGCATAACACTTTAAAAAAAAATCTGATGTGTACACCACATGACTTCCTTGTACGGAATATTAAATTATACGCATTTTTCTTGCATTTCATTTAAACTTATTGGATTGAATTAAATCTACTTCGCCGACAGCGCATAAACCACAATAGAATAAATGCATTCTTTAAAATTTACTCTAGTATTTGTTTACCATAGCGACACTCTGGCGCTAGATTCACTTAACAGTATTAATAATTATATAACAGTTAACTTATATAATAATGATATAACGGAAATTAAGTTAACTGTTACATAATCCAATAATTATATAGCAGTTAACTTATATATTTCGTTCATATTATAACTCATAATGCACAAAATGTATATCATTTAAAGAATAGAATTATCTAATCGTTGCCACATGTTCTATTCAAATATTATAATAAAGCTAGAATGATGTATAAAAGAAATTAAGCAAACAAAACAAAAAAGAAACAGTTTTTCACAGACGATTGAATCCAGTTCTCACTTCGCGAGAAGGCAAAAATACATAAAAACTCAAAATATCTGTATTAAAAATTACAAAGTAAATCTTAAACACTTACTTCCTCGAAAAAATTCCAGAAAGAATTGAGCATGATTTAATTGATAATAATAAATGAATGCGTTATCTTTGTTGTTGCGAAGCTAAGTTTCTCTAGATTGGCAACAAATCCACTAGTCTCCTGTTTCATATGTAAACATCAATGGCCGCCATTAAAAACAGGCTTAGCGGCAATTAAACAACTTTAAAATTGCTGATAATTCTAAAAATATTGCACACACATTTACTAAAGGCATAAAATTCTTAACCAGAAGATAAAAACAATATAATTCAATAATTTTTAAAGAAAAAAAAATGTACAATTTACAAACATATAAGAGTAAAGAAACTGAGATTACTGAGCCGGGTAACAGAGTGGATATATATATAAATATATTTATATATGTTTGGTGCGGCCGATTGCAACCAAAATACGAAGTGCACATCTACATGTTATAGCAGTCCTATATACAAAATTTCAACATCCTGAGGCTACTCGTTTTTGAGTTATGCGAGATACGTACGCACGTACGTACATACGTTCGTACAGACGCCACGAAAAATTCTCTTCAGAATTAACTTTAAAGCAGTTTTATAATTTTTTTGAAGGAAAAGGGTATTTTATTCTGTCCTTACGTACAGATATCACGCAAAAACATCCTTAAATTGCATTCGATAGCGGTCAAAATTGATATTTTCGTTGAAATATGCTGCCTGAAACTTTTCACGATTACAATACTTCCTTTTTACTTCGTACAAGGAAGTAAAAAGGAAGAGTGCTGTTAGACGGAGAATTGATCCCGAAAAATGTCTTAATAATATATAATAGGATATAGCGCAAGAAAATTCTGTTAAGTAAACTAATGCTATGGATGTTAAAAAAAAAAACTTGTAAACAATTCATTACTGATATTAACAACACTGAAAATGTAACAGAATGCATATTTTTATTGTTCTGGTTGTTTGCAAAAATGCTGAAATCTAATGTATATGCTAGCCTACAATGAATTTTTTCTGATTTTTTAAACTTTTTTTCCCGGTTCAAATTTGAATCATGTGAGAGAAAAATATGAAAATGTAAAGACGGTATAGGTTATTTCCTTTTGTTTTTTCCACTGCCTCGTTTTTTGAAAGCACTTTGACCGGTTAGTCATTTGTGGCAAAACTCGCTAGGGCTGACTATCCTCCGAAGGGTCGGATACTTTCGGGGAAAACTTTCTAAGAGAAAAAAATTAATGTTTTACCTGGTTGGCCATCACGCATCTTTTATTTTTCGATGATAAATTTCTGATATTTGTCATAACTTTTTAACGCTTATGTATTTATTTTTTGCTTTCCTTGAAGGAATATTGCAAACTGAGAAGGAATATTAAATAACTTCCATTTTCTAAAATTAAGGAAAGTTTCATCACATAATATGCATACCTAAATCCCAAACTATAGAATGGAAAGAGGGAGGATGGAGCACGCTTATCAATAGCGTCCTCGTGGTCACAATCATAAAATATTTGCAGAATTCAAATAATGCTAGTAAACTTCTAAAGCACACTAAAACTTACTGCTGACAAAGAGCTGAAAGTATTAAGATATATATCAAGATTAATGTATTTTTAAGAAGAGCAAAATAGATAATAAATTACTAAAGACATACAATAATTACTAAAGACATATAATAAAAATGCAAAATGAAAAATGACAACAAAACGAAAGTAAATATTCCATTGTGGAAACTGAGGTCTGTTTTTATGCTAGGGATTTTATTAGCTGTTTAAGAATCGAATCTTTTTATTCTGCATGAACTGCGCGCCAAAGTAGGTGCACATAGTAGTAGATTATATTGTGCCTCTTTGTAGCTATTTATCTAACTATGATTATCGCTTCTAATTGCTCTGTCTTATACCGAAACAGTAAAATTTAAAGTAACAAAATTAAGAATTTAAATTTCTGAATGAAATTAATGGTTGAAAGCATTTTACATTACTACATTAAAATATATCTATCTATCTATATATGTATGTATATCTGTAAGATAAAAAAAATGCAAATCGGTACTTTGTTTCTAGTAATAACTTTCTCTAAACTGCGGCATATCTGAAAACGTATTCCACATTATGCCATCTTGAAACTACTGCATTGCCTATAAGTTTTAGCCAATCAGATTAACGAAAAATTTTACTATAAATATTGTTGCAATTCTACCCCACCCTCTTTCTCTGCCCATGCTTGCTGGCTGAAGGACGTCTCTTGCTTTGCTGCTTTTGTTTGAAATGTAATGCGCCATCATCAAAATTGTGAGGTGCAGACTGGCCCCCATTGTGAAGTGCTACAAGTAATAAAGATATATTTGGAATATCAAATGATTTTTGTGATTCTTCAAAAGTTCCTGACTGCCAAACTAAATTTTATCATCACATATATATATATACAAGAGTTGGTAATTTTGAAAGCTTAAAGTAATATATATATATATATATATATATATATATATATATATATATATATATATATATTACTTTAAGCTTTCAAAATTACCAACTCTTGAAGTCATTCGAATTTTCTTTTAGACAATTAATACCAAAAAATCTTCATACAAAGTTGCGTGTGGAGGAAGCATTTTGTGTTACAGCTTTATGTTTCAAAGATTTGCACTGCTTACATATGTACATTTTTCTCTTTTAATAGATTTATCCAGGAGCTTATCACAGTTTACTTAATGAACCTGAAGAGATTGCAGATGATGTATTCGATCAAACAGTGCAGTGGCTAGAAGAAAGAGCTTAATTTATTACACCTTAAAGTCATACAGAAGTTTGCAGCTGGGAGATTAAGAAAGAAGGGATCTACTTGATTTTAGGAAGGATACAATGGATTCAGTGTTAATAAGTATAATGGCTCATACAATTTTCCAAATGCTGGGCATCATTTGATTTCTTTCATACACTGTATGCCATTCGGCATATCCATGTTCTTTTTCCACTTTATAAAGTGTTTATTTATTCATTAAAACATTCTGCTCATAAACTATTGGATTTATTCTCTTCTTTTTATTTTAAAATATTTATTATATGGTTGTTTATTAATAATTTTAGTAAATATAAATAAAGGAAAAAATTTTTTGCTGGTACGCAATTGCAACATCTGGGAAAAAAAATCAAATAATTCGTTAAGCATCTTATGTGAACGCGATCGAAACAAATTATTAGTATCTGTAAGCAATCTGCCAATATCATTTGAACCGCTTTCATTTTATTACAAATAAATACTAATTATAATTAAGAAATAACTTCTTTAATAATTCTGTAGCAGAACTGCATATCAGATTTATTAATTAAAAGCACAGATACTATGCAAAAAATGCTCTGAGTAAAAGAGTTTTAAATATTGTACTTCATTCACATCACATGACTATGATAAAGGAAATAATTAGGTTTCAATTGTCACCAATTATGGTAAATTTGTTTAACTTCTAATTTAGTTCCGTAATCTTGTTTTTTTTCTATGCTAATACTCTTTCACAGTTTTTAGGGATAGAGATATTTTGAAATCAACTGCTAGTGGATGAAAGATGTGAGGATTTGCTAATCATTAACGAAATAAAATACGAACTGAAATTTTATAAATATCATTGCTTAATAAGGAGAAAAATATTTTCTTTAAATTAAGAAACTTTTGCTTAAAATACATTGTTGGACTATATAGATTACTTAAACTGCATAAATATAGAGGAAAAGAGCTATCAGATCGGGTGATTATTGCTTGAGTGATCATATACGGATGATTCGCCATATCGTGTAAAAACTCCTATGGCAAAGCAGATTACTCAAAAAACGAATTGGAATCAGATAGCAATGCAGGCTGGGAAAAGTCCTCGTCATGTGCAAGCGCGCATAGAACACATAAAATGAAAGAACAACACATAAGTGAAGAAAATTATTTTATTCCATCGAAATATAACAATTGCGCAGCAGGTTAGAGAAAACAGAGGTCATAGAATGTGTTCGACTTACTTATGCTGTATTTTTGTGTATTTTTACTTGCTTAAAATTGCTCATTGTACCAGCTCGTTGACTTTCAGATGCTTCTCTCCATTTATCTATTTTCTAATACAAACTTTAATGCTTTATGTTATCAGAAAGAAAAAAAAATATTAGTATAAATCTCTCTATATAATTTTATTATAATCAATCTTAATTCAGTTTTCAGATGTTATCTTGAAGCTTTGCATATTTTCGATTCGGGGTAGGATTCGTCAGGTACCAGAGTGTCTTAAACACCATTCTATGAGAGAGAATGTGTTCGAAGTTTCGGCTACTAGCTGCAGCACAAGCCTGACGTCTGTGCTGCATGGAATTATGGGCGTTTTGAAATATTTTGGGCGTCTCTTGGACCGTTCTTCAACAGTCCAGATGCGTGCTACAATATCCTCCTTATTGTCCACGAGGTAAATTAGATATTTCATGTGAGTGCATGTGGTCAATGGTAATTTAATATAATTAATGCTATTTATATAAATTCATCGAGTACTCTTGAAGAAGTTTGTGCCGAAAATAGTGCAAAAACACTTCTCTTGAAAAAATATTTATAATGGAGGACAAACTGCTGGTCAGGTGACTGAGAATCTCAAATGACAGCAAGGCAGGGATGTGCCTGTAAGTGGTTTTGGGCTTTCAATATGGTATCATAATACAGAAAATTCTTATAAGATTATTGCGAGAACATTTTAGAAAAATAGTTTCTCTTCATGACAGAGACCTTATTGTAGGAACTGGATACGACTAAAAATTAGAAAGAATCTCAAATTTTAGCTTCTTAGTTTGTTTTAGAAAATTTTCAGCCTCAAATGGATGATTTTAAGATAGACGGTTTATAAAATGTATTAGGGAGAGAAACTTATCTATAGTGATATAGTGATAAGTAATCATTGCTCGTAGCATTATTAAAAAAAAAAAAAAAAACGGATAGTTTGTAGGGAAACATTATGAACTTCGCTAAGTTTCGTGACATTTAATGAATAATATTTTTTTATTTAAAACAGATTAGAATATAAAATTAGCCATGGCTAACATCTTCTAATACTTATAGTAAACTATTTTATTAAGTGGGACTATTTAAATGCATTTTTGTATACTTTTATTTATCATATTTTAATTCTAAACATTAGATACTTTAATGCCGATTAATTTTGACTTTTTTATCTATCGATATTTCATTCGATAGTGAAACTTAGCTTCATATTCAATCCACTTTATAAAATGTATTGGAGATTTTGCATAATTTAGGCGAGGAAAACTCTATTGGCAGCACTTAGGAAATTTTCTAAAGTATCCTTTCTGCATGCTGTTCATTTAGAATTGAGTTTAAGATTATTTCTAGAATTGCAGCAATATTACAGTTTCCTCATAGATTATCTGGCAATGAACTGCAAAAATCAAAAAGCAATCTAGAATAAAAAAAGGGGGGAAGAAAACAAGAAAAGAAAATGCTCTCAGCACAGATCTAATGGCTGAATGGTGTTATAATGAACTTAATATTTTCTAGTCCCATCTTCAAGTGTTCTGTACCAGTAACCGGTACAAAATGCCAAGCAGATATAAAATGCTGCTCTTTATGTAAGTGAACCTCACATGTTTTTCAATGAACACATTAATTTTCAACTCTACACACTGATTTCTATTTCTTAGCGTCACCTTCAGTTATCGGGCGGACTATATATAAGTGAATTGTATGCGAACTGTAAATAAGTGAATAACACACGTGACTACTATGAATGCGACAAGCAAATATTACACAGGAACTCTGTTAACATGTGAACAGCACATATGATGTACACTAATATATCTAATTGATATTGTCCAGTATAATGTATCTGAATGACTTCTTATATCCAAGTTACCACTGACATCTAAAGTAAGTGTTCTCTGTAAACTCAGAATCACAAATGCACAAAACATTGCTAAAATCCTCATTCAGCGCAGTCAGAGTCTTGGCAGGGTCTCTTTAATACCACAGGTCACAAATACACATCTTTCCAAGTAACCTTATAAATTTCGCTACAAATTTTAATATTTCACGAAGATTTTTGGCTGGGTCTAGCGAGAAAAGAATGCTCCACCAACTGTTTACAAATGCTGATAGTCATATAACGGGCGGTACAGGAACTCGGTGGTAAGTAAATAATATTATAGTTTTAAAACAGTTTGTTCAGGATGGAACCATAAAATCATAAACCAATAAAGATTAAAAAACTAATATCACATATTCATTGATCCTGCTTTATTTATAAAATATTTTATTATTATACATAATTATCTCCTTTCCTGCCTGAAAAACCATTTTTTTCTCGTTTCATTTGTCATAAACATTCAGTATTTAGTAGCCATTCATATTTTATTTGGTTGCTTTTTCTTATAATTCTGTATGCAGTTGCATGCTGACTAACACAGATTTGATTTTCCCAACAAATATTTTATTATCTTATCTGTAATTGTATTTAACACCAGTTTTTGTTGTTTTGATCGTTGACCGAACCGATAAAGATATCTAATATCCTATCTAACATTGCTATCATCCTAGTCAAATTTTCCGAAGCATTTTCTTTTCCGAAACCTTTTGCTTTCCGAAGCATTTGCAATTTTCACATTTACAAAAATGGAAAAGAGAGCCTTTTACAGATATGCAGACACAGTGTTCAAAGCTGATTTGCTTAGCTAATCTATAATGAGTAAGTAAACTTTTGTCTCAGCACACTAGTTAAACTCCCAACTCAATTTCTTCGAAGGAAAAAGTTCTTCTTCCTTCTCATTTAATAAATACGCTGTAATTAACAATATTTCAAAGGAAGTCAAATAACAAAATGTAAGGGTGCAAATTATTGTATTTCATAGGAAACAGAAGTAGCTTTATGACAAAAATTTAATAGTTAAGGACATTTTGAAGTAGTAGTTCGGAAGGAGAATCATTGCAAGGGACATCCAAGTATTGGCCTACATAAGGAGAGTATCATTCATTTTAATGTCTTCTTGAATTGACGCCACTTTGAATGTTTTCATATTTCTGCCAAATTTGTTTTTCTTAAACTTTAAAGGGATGTTTTGCACAGTTTTCCTCACTGGGCACTTCTATATTTTCGGACTCACTGCTGTGGATGATAGAAAGGGTAGTGCTGTGGATGGTAGAAAGGTAAGTTACTAGCTCGAATTCAAGGAAATTGTGTGGATTCGACTTCTGCTCAAGGCTTGGCTGCATAAGTTATCTTCCCTGTTCTTGCGGGTAATATCAATTTCCACCTTGTATCGCAACCTAGGCAATGTTCTTGATCATGAGATGGCTAAATGACTGATGGATTCGACCATTTCAGATAAAAGCTCAAGAAATAAACGTGGGAAGAAAAAATATTTCATTCTTCCTCCTGGAGGGGTTATTCTGCAGGCTTAACTGCATATAAAAAGCAGTTGCTTGCATGTACATTACGTTTCATTAGCCAAATACAAAGCATTTCGCATGAGCTATAAAAAAAGAATTCAGTATCAAAAGATTTGCTTAGTTAAGGGCAGTTATATTCTGATTACAATAAACTTTATCCATTGCAAAAAATTAAAAATAATAAAAAGTGTTCTCCATGCAATTAAGGATTGCAAAATAATTTGGTTTCGTTTATAGGGAAGAAACAGTCATGAGCCCTTATCTACTGATTCAGAATCGTCGATTACATTTTTCGTCGGTTCAGAGCAACAGAGAGGGGGGGGTGGAAATGGTGTACGTTGAAGTTTCGAAAGGCAAGGGAAGTGACAACGGTCGGTAAAGGCCCGAAATAGAGCAGTTCAAACATGGTCATTATTGTCTACCTATGCATCTGCATGATCGTTTGGGATGGACGCAGATAATATGGGAAATGGAAGGCGAAATTTCATTGCGGAACTTTATGTGTACTTTTAGGTTGCATTAAATCACTCAACACCTGATTTCACACCCTAGTTTGTCGTTAGAGGCCGGCAGCATGAAGGAAGGGTGAAAATGATTCA